CTTGGAAATATGCCCACTAGAACTCCAGCAATTTGCACATTTTCACTAACCCTTGAGAATGGGTGTTCCAGATGGCATTCTGAATTTAGCAAAAAATGCCCTGCTGGCTCCACTTTTTGCTCTTTGGTCCTATTCTAAAGGATCTGGCAAAGTGACATTGCATGAGTTGGATAAGAGGGGCTTAAAATGCTAAATTTCAGATTATATTCAAACAAAATCCCCAAAAAAGCTCTCAGTGAGCACAGGACTGTCAACGTACCAGCATCTGTACAGTCTGTTGAGGCAGTGATAATCAAGAACACAAATAATAAAGCAGCAGAGTAAAACCCAAACTGATACAGGGGCTGGTCTGACACCATCATATCTAGATAGCAACTGCACCACTTGTTCTTCCTCTCTACTGGAAATGCTCCTCAGCTTCACTGTGCAGATCACCAAGCTATGGGTCCACACCTTTGCCTAAGCCCTGCTACCAAGCACTGGTGAGAGTCAAATGCCTACGGCACTCAAGGGTGCATCAGCTGTCTGGTGTAGCAAAGCTATTGGCATTGTTTGGATTTAGTTTACATGATGATGCAGAACTTCTCCCACATTTGCGTTTTGGTGCATCTAAGCTTTTAATTAAGGGCACCTGAGGCATATGTGAACTTCCCATCAATCCTCAGCCTCTCCAGGCAAGTAAACTCCCACAGTTCTGTAGTAGGAGACATCTCACAAACTAGTTTTATGGTACCTTCTGTGTCCCTCCTTCCTGACCAGGAGGATCTGGTCTCAGTGGCCATGTGCCCTTTAGCTGGATTACATTCACACCATCATAACAAACAAATTCCGTAGAGCTTCTTTCTCCTGCCAGCTTCTCTCCTTGCCCTTTGCTCTGCACTCCCTGGCCAGGACTTCTGAGGTTGCTTGTTTACTCTTGTATGCCTTCATTTTCCCTGGAAACTCTCCGATCTGAAATTCCCTCTCTGCTATGATGCTCCTCCCACCTTTGTCTTTGAGGCTAGTAGTAAACCTATATAACACCTGATATAATCAAACCTCTAAAACTATTTAGAGAAGTCTGTGCACTTTAAAGGTAACTCCCTGGGTATCTGCTGTTGCTTGTTATTTTCTGGTTCAGATGAGTCCTTCACCCTTTCATAGAATCATCATAGAATCATAGAATAGATTGGGTTGGAAAAGACCTCCAAGATCATCAAGTCCAACCCCTGATCCAACTCCAATTACTGTATCATGGCACTAAGGGCCACATCCAATCTCTTTTTTAAAACCTCCAGGGATGGTGAATCCACCACCTCTCTGGGCAGGCCGTTCCAATGCCTGATTACCCTCTCTGTAAAGAATTTCTTCCTAACATCTAACCTAAACCTCCCCTGGCAGAGCTTGAGCCCATGTCCCCTTGTCCTACTGTTGGTTGCCTGGGAGAAGAGACCTCTGTACTGCTTCCAGGGCTCAGGTCTCACCTGGGCCTTTTTCTATGCTCTGAAGGGTAAGGTTGCAAGACTTGATCATGACAATTCAGTGCTCAAGTCCCTTACGCAGACACACAGCTCATAATCCCTCCTGCCACCACTAGACTCCAGCTGAGTTTACATGCCCATATTCCCATAACACCATCCTTTTAAGGGATGGGCAAACTTAAGGCACAGTCATGTTGTATGACCTATCCCTCCACCTGCCTTCCTGAATAATAGCTTTCAGCTTGCGAGCCATCAGGCATAATATCACCTTTTCCCTCCTACACCAAGCACTGTGAGCCTCAGAGATTCTACTGGACTCAGCTCATGCCAAAGAACAACCTTTCCTGGGGTGCTCTTCCTGCCCAAGACACCAGAACTAAATTCACAAATTCTAAGCTACTTTTGGATGGTAGTAAAGGGAGAGGAGAGACAATATCTCAGTTTCAATTATGTAGTTGACCTTGTGTCCCTGGGCCGTTGCAAACTGCTACATTTTGAATCTAGGTACACATACATGACAAAACAAAGAAGTGCCTGATTGTATTGCAGAAACAACAGGGGTCTAGTGAGGGATGAAAAGACTGTTCTCCCAGGAAGGGGCAGACTTCCTTGGCTTCCTCATACAAATTCTGCTCTTCTATGTCAGGCTGAGTTCAGTGGGACAAGCAAGGGGGCTGTTTGTGCAGGTAGGATGTGCAGTGCTGCTGCCCACTGACCTTTTTCTATTAAGATCAAGTCAGAAGACTGTTTCCAATGGATGGCTAATTTGGGTCTTTTGCAAAAGCCCAAACTTCAAGGAAACAGTTATACAGACATTTTTAGTACCTGAAATATGGAACCTTTGAGCCAACAAGTTTAAAGAATTATTAGTAAGATAAAGACCTCCAATCTCTGAGCATCAAATCTTTGGCTTTCTAGTCTTCTACCTTGATTTGGTATTTCCTTTCTTACTTTGCATTAGCTTGCCAAGGATGGTCTGGTGGGTTTTTATATCTCCAGCCACTACATAGTAAAAAGCAGGATACAGAGCTTCCCAACTTGCTTGGTTAGGATCCATGAATAAAGAGAGCTGCAGCTACAAGCAAGCTCATGGGTATGAACAGGAATCCTGAAGCCATTTTCCAAGGTAGAAAGACTAGGATTAAAAATTAAAAATTTAAGACCAGGAAGCTTCTGTTGGTGGTTGCAACCCTGGTCCCACTAAAAAGGCCACATAGCAGCAAGAAACCTAGCTGGTGGCCTGATGAAAAAGGGCAGGTAGATGAAAGAGAATATATTTTCAAACAAGGAAAAAATACAGTACTAAGGAGGGAGCATTAATGCTCTGCAGTATAGAATTATGAATAACTCCAGAGGTCCCATTGAATCCCACTGTTGCTAAGGAATTGTTCTGTCATCTATGAAAATAATTAACATTAGCAGTATCGTTTAGCATTTCAGTTAGCTACAATTAACTTCACATTAGGAAGCTCTGAAAGTTCATTACTGTTGGATGTCTACAGTGGTTTTAATCACACAGAACTATCATGATGGTACATCAGTGTGTCTGAGTCAAACACCTTATACTTGGAGCTAAGGCCACCCACTTGTGAGCAGCACATGCTAAACCTCATGCCACTTTAGGAGTACTTATTATAACAGTATTGCTTACAGCAAGCTGTGTGGGTTGTACAGTACATTAATTTACATGTCATCACACAGAACGCTATCTCAGTCAACATCTATTTTGGTTCCCTTATTGAGGTGCATATCTGAGCATGGGGTAGTAAATGAAAATGATGCTAAAATATTTTCTTTGTCACTTATGAGACAACACTTTGCAAGGCACCAGTTACATTCAGCCTCCAAAAGAGCATCAGAGCTGCAGTCTTTGAGCTGGTAACACAGCAATTCTTGGCATTGGTCATGAGGTCAGTACAGGGTCACTACTGACCATCCTCTTTCCCGGCTCACACAGACAATCTAACTGCAGAGCTCATCGCTGAGCCATAACCAGTAATCCTCCCCGCCCTTGCATCCAGTCTCTCGAGCTAAGCACCCAGCAGATCTGCCAGCAGGGCACCAGCAGGCAAGAGCACCAAGTCTCTTCCTCTGCAGTGCATGTACACCTGAAGCTTAGCTGAAGACGTGGTCATACCCTACCCAAGCTGTGTTAAATTCTACAGCTATGCCTTGCAGTATGTTCCTTGGGTGATAAACTCGTTTTGTACTTCACTAATAACCATCTCCACCAACAGACAAAACCCAGAAAGGAACCATCATTGACAGAACCGATATGAAGCACGTGAAATAAACGTTGGCAGCATTTGCCTCCTTTGATTCGCTTTCCGTACTTGCGCACAACCCTTTAATTTCGAGCACTATTAAAGCAGCCGTGTGTACTCCGTGACCCCAAATGCAATTCAGACACGTAAAGATTTTTATTCAGTCACTTGTACTGAAAACAAACAAACAAAACTACCAAAACGAAAACCAACAAACGAACAGAGAAGTCTGCAGCTGTTGCCCTCTCGGCGGCCAGGCAGAGTCGGAGGAGGTACGAACTGCTGCCACAGATGTGTTTTATCTCTAGGTTTCCATGCTGCCACACCCTCCGAGGCGCCCAGACGAGGGCCGGGAATGGGAGCACGGAGCCTGATGAAGCCCTCCACGAACCCGCCAAAGCTCGGGTCGCGATAATCGATAGCGAGGGGCGCTGCTGCCGGGAGGAGTGGGGTCGGTATCCCCCTGATGGCGACTCCATCCCCTCAGACGGCTCCTCCATCCCCTCGGCCGGGCGTGGGGAGCAGCCCGGCACCCCGCCGGTGGTCTGTGACACCGGGAGCCCGAGCGCCTGACATCGGCTTCAGGGGGTGTGTTTCCAGAGTTCCCCCATCCAGCCTGCCAGAGCGGGGTGTGTCCGCAATGCCCGCAGGTGCCGCTCACCGGCGTTCAGGGAGACTCCACCGCCCCCTCCGGAGCCGAGCCGGCGGCCTCGCCCGCTCCTGCTCCGTCGCCATGGCCCGGGGCGAGCAGCCCCTGGAGCCGAGTGGAGCTCACCGGCAGCTCTGCGGGTCCGGACGGCGGGAGCAGCGAGGGCGGCGCGGGAGGGAGGCTGCGCTGCCCGCGGCTCCCTTGGGGAATACGCGCCGAGCTCTGACCCGGTGCAGGCGCTCCCCGCCCGCAGCGGCAGGAAACCCCAACCCCGCCGCCCGCCTGTTTCCCTCGCCGACGCCCCGAGCGGGGTTGGCCCGCGCCGGACACGCGAAGTTCGCCCCGCTCCCGGTGGGCGCAGGTGGGCGGCGGGGAGGGCGCGGCGGGAGGCGCTGCCGCAGCCCCGCCCGCAGCGGCCCCGCTGCCGCCTGTCCGGCACCGCGGCGGGAAAGGAAGCGAAGAGACGGGGTGGGGGAAAGCGGGGCGTGGGGGAAGGAGAGCGATGAACCACCCCCGAAGCCCGGGCGGATGGCGGGGCCGCGCAGGGATGCCGGGCGCGCCGCCGGCCGGGTTCACCCGAGGACAAGCGCTCGCTCCTGCGCCCCTCCCGCCGCCGCCGCCGCTGACCTGTGTGCACCCGGTAGTGCGCCTTGAGGTGGGAGGATTTGCCGTAGACCTTGCCGCAGCCGCTGTAGGGGCACTTGTGCCGCTTCTCGGTCGCCAGCTTCCCCTTGGGGCGGCCCCGGCCGTGCGCAGGCGGGGGCGGCCCCGGCGGGGGGCTCCGGGGCGGGCTGGAGCCCTGCTCGGTGGCCGCGTCGCTGTCGGAGCCCGCGTCCTCGTCGGGGCTCTCCACGCTGTCACTGCAGACGGAGGGGGCGGGCAGCGGCCGGTACTTGTTCAGCTCCAGCAGGCTCTTGGCGATGGCCAGCAGGGCGCAGTAGTCCTTCCAGGCGTCGCGGGGGTCGCGCAGCTCCCTGGCCGCCTCCCCCTCGTCCGGCACCTTCAGCCGCGCCGCCTCGGGCACGGCGGAGCGGTTGGAGATGGAGACCAGACACTGCGCCGCCACGAAGTCCACGTAGGCTACGGCCGACATGGTGCGGCCGCGCCCCGACGACACGGCGGGGGGGCGGCTCCGGGCGCCCTCACAGCTCGTCCGCCGGTCCGGCCGTGCCGCCGCCGGCCATGGCCCGCCCGCGGCGCGGGGTCTCTGCAGCGCGGGGAAGAGCGGGGCGGAGGAGGAAGGGGGCGTGGGGGGCGAATAAATAGCGGGGTGCCGGGCAGGTCCCTCACCGCCGCCCCCCGGGGGCGGCGCGCAGCCGGCGAGGGGGGAGCGCCGCCCGCGCGGCCGGGCCGGGTCCGGCGCGGGGGCCGGGGGAGAGGACACCGCCCGTCGCGTCGCCGCCCGCCCCGCGCCCCGCGTGCTCCTGCCCGGGGGCGGCCGCGCCGGGGCCCATCACGTCAGGCGCGGAGCCCCTCCCGCCCCGGCCGGTCCGCGGGCTGGGCCGCCCGGCTCTGTTTACTTTCTCCCCCCGCCACTCACGGCGCCCCTTTTCTAGGGGGGGCGTGTCCGCCGCGCGGCTGTCCCGCCAATCGCCGCGCTCCCTCCCCAGGCCGCGTGCTACTCCGGGCGCCCCCTTAAAACAGCGATGCCGGGGCGCCGCCGGGGGGGCGGCGGCGGGGACGCCGCGGCCCCGCTCCCCGACTCGGGGGCCGTACCGCCAGCCCTCCCGCGCCCCGAAGGAGCCGTCGGCGCCCCCCGGCCGCGGGCCCGCGGAGGGGGCTGCGCGGGGCGGCGGCACCGAGCGGGTTAAGTGGCTCCCTGTAAGTCCTACGGTCCCAGCAACGGGCCGGCCAATGGAAAGTGAGCCGGCTGATGTCACTGGCAGCGCCCGGCCAATCAGCGCCGCGGAAAGAGGGGTGCGCAGCGCTTGGAAATGCGGGGAGCGGCGGGCGGGGAGCGGCGGGCACCGAGCGAGTCCCGGCGGCCGCTCCGCCCCTGGCGCTGCCGGCAAAGGGCAGGGGTGGCGGCGGAGCCACCCGTACCGTTCCACACCGGGGATGCTCCTCCTGAGCCGGGTGTCGGTCACTCGGGCGCGAACCCGAAACCGCACCCCCTTCAGTGGCTGCGGCGCCGCGACCCGTGATGCTCCCGCACGGCCCAGGGATAGGGCAGGAGGCGGGAGCGCGGGCGCCGTGTCGGGAAACCCGGCGGTGTCACCACGGAGACACACGGGTCCCTCAGGCGGGACAGAGAGGGACCCTCCGTGCCCCCGCGGGTACCTCGGCGGGGTCACTCCCCGAGGGCGCTCGTCAGGGGAAAATTTTAGTGCCATTTTATAAAAATTCCGCTGTCGGCTCGCCAGTGTTGGCAAAGTCAGGTGTGGCTGGTTAAACACTTCATCCTGTCGTTCGGTTAGTGTCCAGATTAAAAGAATCTGAAAACCCTGACACATCTGTTCAAATAACATGGCCCTATCTCCATCTGCTTCAGCGAATGTACAGAGCTCGTGTAGTGTTGTGAAAGTTTACTGACCTGAGTTCAGCTGGAGAAGAGGGAAACGTTGTCTTCTGGATCAAACACGATTTAAAAGAAGGAAAAGAATTTGTCATCACCAATAAACCAGCAATGCTGAGGTGTGAAGTATGTCAGTATGTTTTGCTGCTTTGCAAGTGTCAGGAGAGAGCATAACAGGGAAAGAGTCTGTCTTTCAAATTGTACACAGAGGCCTCCATACAGAATTAGCCAAAGTAAAAACGGGTGCCTCTGAAATCACATCTAGATGGAGAAGCACTCCTGTCAGATGGAGGAGCTTTCCTCTCCTTTTGTGAACTGCATCCCAAGGAGACTGACCTGCTGCAGCCCAGAGTCCTTCCCTGAATCTCACTGTCCTCAACTGCAGCCCACCCTTCCTTGCAAAAACAGACAGGGCCTGAATGGTGAAGGGCTTTATGGATTACTATTAATCTCATGAATGTTGAAATAATGAGGAAGCAGCTACAGAAATGAGGCTGTGTTGTTCTCTTCCTGCAGGACATAAAAATTAGTAGGTGTCAGCCATTTTGTGTGCACGCCAGATCACTGCAATAATAATCCTTTAACATGGATAATTGGCATCAAGCTGAAATAATTTTACAAATCATAGCTGTGAAAAAAAGCCAAAACACACAAACAAAACAACAGAACTAGAGACTAGATCTGTAAGTGAATAGTCATCTGTAGGGTGATGAAGATCAAATAGAGAACATGAGTAGAGCAATATACCTAGCAAGGCAGTCACCAAGGGATGAATGTCACTCTTAAACAGTTCATGAAGAATTTTTTCCCAGCTGATCCAACATCCATCGGCCTCTGGTGTTTAGGAGACACTAGACAGAATAGGAAGCTGTGATCTCCAGGAAGGAAGAGCAGAAGATAGTGTCCTTCCTGTACTACTAATACTGTTGTCTTTTTCTGTGCCTACAACCGTCTCTTTCCTTCAAAGGGGCAACAGCATTTTACACGGAAAGCTGCACCCCAGTCCGTTAATCCGGACACCCAGGACGTATCTTCACAAGTTGCTTATTTGACATCTTTTTTCACAGCACTTCCAGAACTACTTAGGCTGACACTACCCAGAAGTTCCTGCTAGGAGACGTCCTCATCCACATTTCAGTGACATGAAACTTGCTTCCCAGAAGGTTACCTGCCTATTTTATATCAGATTCTCACATTAGCAAATCCTCAGTTACATGCCTCTTGCATTAATTTACACAGTTCAGAGAAGGAAATGTTAATAACCAATAATAAAAAAAGAGCCAAATCTTTTTTATTTGCAAGCTTGTTTTATTTTAAGCTAACCCTTGGCATCTAAAGATTAGAAAGTAATCTGCAACCAGTTCCATAATGAGGAACCATACCAAGCTTCTAAAATAATTCCATTATGCCTCCAAGAATACACTGTCTATTAAAGACAAATCATGTCTTTCCTTTTGTTGTGTGTAGTAGTCCAAAGCTCCAAGACTCTAAGATAATTAGGTCTAAACAACACTTAGGAAATGATGCCAGTGGAATTTTATACTTGGAGAGACTGTCAAAATGACCATAACTACTCTCTGAACAGGAACACTCATGTACCAGGAAATGGGAATGTGATTGCAAACCCCTTTATCTCCATGTGATCCAGATGATAGGAGTCATCACTTGGCCTGTGGTGATGGTAACATTTGGATACGGTTTCAGAGCATTAATTTAATCCAGTTTTTAGTTCACAGCAAAGCTAATTTTTTGAGATACCTAGTCTAAGCAAGGGTGATACTCGCATATTGTACAGGTAAGAGATAAGACTCAGCAGACGGGTAGGAAGTAGGTAATCTTTATGGTCCCCTCCAGTGCATACAATTCCATGATTCTAAACCCACTACAGCACTTTGATACAGCCCTAACACCTTGGGTGCCTTCATCACCCAAGAGCACGTGCCAAAGGCTGCTGTTCACAGCTCCAAACCATCTCTTGGTGGGCAGATGTTTGCCCTCTGTGTGGTCCCCAGATACAGGAACATAGCACGTCTAGGTGTGGTCAGGGTGGAAGGTGGCAGCAGCCACTTTTGGGGCAGCTGCTTGTTCTCTGGGCCAGAGGAGAGATGCACAGACAGAAACTGCTACAGAGAGTGAAAGAAATGAAGACTGTGACCTCCAGATGAGTGAGAAAGGCATAGGTAATGGCTCAGGTTGCTAGGGGCTCACATTTGAGGGGAGGGCAGGGAGATGTTGCAGGGGAAGTAGCAAAGAGAAGAATGAGAAGTGAGATTCAAGAGCCTGCAAAGAAGGTGAAGGAGAAGAAGTCTGTCAGTTTGTGTTTGTGAAGGAGAAGGACCCTTCCCACAGTGCTTATACATTCCTCACCACAGAGATGTACACAGGTTCCGCAAGAGAGGAGAGGCTGCAGAGGAAGAAGGGCTATTTATTATTTCTGAGGGTTTAAAAAATGTCTTCTGCTTTCAAAACCAGAACTTTTCAGAATAAAAAGCATGCCAACTCTCCTCCTCAAATCTTGTGCACTGTTGCAGAATTAGAGGCTCTCTGGGTTGAAACAAGAATAGATCAGTTGGTGGGAATCTGAAAAGTCCCAAGAATAGGTGTTTTGAGAACTAGACGAGTGTTTGGAGAACTAGACACTTGAGAAAAATAAGGGCAAAACAGCACCTGCTATGGGAGGCATGAGAATGGAAATATTGTTATGAGATTTAGAAGAATAGGAATTTAAAAAATAAGATATATAGAATAGCCAATAAGAATTGTGTGAACAATGTGTGTTTTAAATGTGTAACCAATAGCTATTAAAATAGTTAAATATGTTTTAAGTATGTATCCAATGATGTGTGAAATAGTAAAATATATTATAATTATTAGACTGCATAAAAGTTTGTGTGATGGCTAATAAAGTTTGAAGCTTCCGACATCATATTGGTGGAGACGAAGTTTCCTTTGGAGTTCTCGCACGTGTTACAGTGCACCCTGACCCTGTTCCTAAAACACTGCACCTTTTTTTTGGGAGGATGAAGATAACATGCAAGCACCTGGCAAGTATACTTGAAGAAACCTAGAGTCTGAGAGAACCCTCAAGTTTTTTGCTCCAAAAACCAGTTTGTGTAATGACTTTTAGTGGCACTGTGTCCAAGACTGTCTTTTGAGGAGCAAATGTGTTCACAAAGAATGTCAGGAATCATGTGTTCTGCTTCAAATCATGTTCTGTTGCTTTATGTGGGCTCTTCTACAGAGCACAGAGGTTTCTTCTCTGATAGTGTTTTTCTTCCAAGACAAAATGAAGAAATCCGTCCTGGTTCTGTATTAATATTTGCTAATATTTTGAATGTCAGAGGCTCCAAACATTATTCCAGATTCTGCTTTGACTTCTTTCATTCTCCAGGGCTCTTGGTATAAGCTCCAAATGATTTGACAAGATGCTGAGGGACTGATCAATGGTTAGAAATGGCTGAAATTATATGTCAAGATAAATGGCCTGTTTGCTGACCTGTGTTTTTAAAGCCCAGTCATGCTGAAAATTCATGACTGATATTCTGGCAACATTACAGAATGGAACACGTTGTAAAATATTTTGCATGTACGTAATATCTTTCCTACCAATGTGTTGCCCAGATTGTCTGCATGTGTTATCAGGGAAGTATGACAACCTCTCCCATCAGACAAGAGACACAGATCTCATTGTGGAATCTGGTGCAGTAGGAAGGAAGTATTTTAACCTTTTGAAAAAAGTCTCAGTCACTGAACACATAGAGCAGACAAAAAGCTGCTTTATAAAGCCATCTGATATAACAGAAACCTTCAAATTCAACCTCTGTAGATCAGAAAGAATCAGCACAATTGCTTGCTATATAAAGGCCTGCAAGAAACAGTGAGTACTGCTAGTAAATTGTCCTTCTAAATCAAAAGAAGCTTCACAGTAGAAGGCTACTGACAGAACACAATTCTGGCCCCAGAATCCAGGAGTATGAGGATTATCCATCTC